TGAGGTGGGTGGTGATGTGCTCAGGTGGAGAGCTCCCAGACCTTTATTGGCATTTGTCCTGGAAGGTTGGAGGTAGTTAAGAGCCCTTTGCCAAGGTCACAGAAGGAGCTAAAGCGTAAAATTCCAAAGCTTTTCTTACATTTTTCACTGGGGAGAAAAGTGTGAATGAGCCCTTTGCTTGCACCTTGAGGAACAGTAGGGACAGCTAAGATTGCTGGCCCTGTCTGCTGTAAAAAGGGAGATGCTCAGCCAGTTAGGGAACTTGTAGTGTCCTGTTTGCCTGGTTTTAAAGAGAGGTGGGGAGGGATGGCAGCTGGGGCAGAGGTGGGTTGAAGCCAGGAAAGTTTGGAGGAACTTCTGTGTGGATGTTCCGCGGCTACTGTGAACGCCTCTCCATTTTCAGCAAGAGCTACACAGAGAATGACCACTGTATAGAAGAGCAGCCCAAGTTCATTTCCTGTGGGCAGTTTCTTTCACTGCTCAGTGGCCCATCCAAGAAGTTCCAGGGGCAGCATTCAAAGGTCTGATTTCTGTCAGTGTCAGTTTATCAAGACAGTGCAGAATTTGGCTTAACCGGGTCAGCACTGAATGTCTGCTCCTTTTCCCTCCTCAGACACTCTGCCCTTTGATTGCCAGCTACAGAAAGGTAAATTTAATGGAACAGCTGTATCAAGACAGTGCAGAATTTGGCTTAACGGGGTTACATACATACATCATAAGCAGAATGCTCAGCACTGAATGTCTGCTCCTTTCCCCCCCTCAGACACTCTGCCCTTTGATTGCCAGCTACAGAAAGGTAAATTTAATGGAACCTAAGGGGGAGACTATGTCAAGAGGGTGTTTTAATTGTTGTATGAAAATGTTACTTTGGAGCAGCTGTTGAACCAGGTGACTTGACAAAGGGAGTGGAGCTCTGGCTATTTATGATCAGTTGTTTGGCATCTGATAGTGATCAGCCATCCCACCTGATTCAGCCCTATCCGAAATTGGCACCAGGCATTCGGAAGCTGCCTTGGCTATTGTGAAAAGTCAGGGTTTTAAAAAGACTCCAGACAAAGCCTTTGGCCATGGTGTGACTCTCAAACAATCCAAGACCAAGGGGGTTGTTTCTCATGTTTCCATTCTTCAACTTGCACTTTTTGTTAAAATTCAGGGGAGTGAAAGCTTTTAATAGAGCTGCTTCTAACAAATCTTTAGTTTGGGGTTTATTATCCTTTTAAAAGCAAACTTATCTGCTTGTGTGATTGTCTGTGCTCCACGGCAGTCTTTGTTCCAGGTCTGGTCCACAGAGGGGAGGGGGTGGTCCTTACCACAGGTCTTCTATCAAGTATCAAAGAGCTGACCCTTGCTCAGATTTTTTTTAAATCTGTCAAACAGGCCCCCAGCCCAGAATATGATGTGCAGTTCTGAAAACCAGGGCAAATAATAGTCATTTCAAACAAAAAATGGAGTTGGGTGACATTGTCGTTTGGTATAGCCACACAATATGGAGTTTGGGAAAGAAAAAAGGGTCTGGATGGGACCTCATAAGAACATAAGAGAGACCTTGTTGGATTAGGCCAATAGCCCATCTAGTCCAACACTCTGTGTCACAAAGTGGCCCAAAGCCAGGTGCCATCAGGAGGTCCACCAGCGGGGCCAAAACTCCAGAAGCTCTCCCATCTTTGCCCCCTAAGCAACAAGAATACAGAGCATCACTGCCCCAAACAGAGTGCTCCATCTATATATTTTGGCTGGTAGCCACTGATGAACCTCTGCTCCATATGCTTATATCTGTGACCATAGAAGCAGCAGTTGTGGGTGGCTTGGCCTACAGGCTGTGTAAGTGGGGGTTTGCATCCCCATGTTTCATGGGCACATTCCGAGATGGGATTTGTCACCATCTGTAGAGAGGGAACCTTGGAGAGAGGAGGCGGCAACCAACTCTAGGTTGAGTTCTTCCACTACTTGTGCTGGAGGGAGGCCAATACTTGGCAGAGTGAAGTGGTTATCTGGAGGGAAGCCTACCTCATTTTGGCAGGAAGTAATAAGTGTTTGTTAGTGGGATAAGCAGATGAATCTTTATCCCAGAAATCAGAAAAGGCCTTATTTTATTTCTTCTGCTCCACAGAGAATGTGACTCTGGATCCAGACTCAGCCCATCCTCAGCTCCTCATATCGGATGACCGGAAATGCCTGACTTTGGGAGACAAAAGGCAGCCTCTGCCCACTTACACTCGGAGATTCCGTGGCTTGTTCTGCGTGTGGGGCAAAGGGAGCCTTAAGTCTCAGATGGGCTACTGGGATGTGGAGGTGGGGAAGGAAGAAGGGTGGGCCGTGGGTATCTGTCGGGCGCACATAGTTATTCAAAGAGATGAATCCCTGGGGCCTGAGACAGGAGTCTGGGCTATTGGGAAGTGGAGTGGAGAGTACCGGGCTCTCAGCTACCCCCACAACCCTCCTCTGTCTCTCAGTGGGGAGCCCAAAAGGATCCGGCTGCTTCTGAACATCCCAGCAGAACGAGTGTCTTTTTTTGATGCTGACACAGCAGCCCTGCTCCACATATTCACAATACCAGCCTATCTAGAATTCCAGCCTTTCTTCTGGCTTTTGAAGAAATCCCATCTCAGAATCTGCCCGTGAGACACAGAGAAGCAAATCCTCACTTGCAGCTCCGAATTTGCAGGATGGCGGTCCCATCCTGACACTCCCCTCCTTGTACAACGAGCTTCAGTTTTCAGCCTTGAGTCTCTTCTTGTGTTCTTCAAATGGTCTTGAAGAATATCTTTCTTTTGGCGCCACTGAGCATCTTTTCCCATCTTTTTTTCTTTTCTTTTAAGAAGACTATGAGAGGG